AAAGTTTTTTATTTTAAAATTTAATTTGCTTTTAACTTTTATATTGCCTGTATACCTAATATATACCCAAAATCTGTGAAATAAAGCAACTTATGCTCAGGGATTTAAATTTTACAAGTTTGGAAACTTAAGTACCCATACATAAAAATTTTCTGTATATTCCCTTTAGGGTTTTTTTGTTGCTGTTGTTGTATACATAGTTCACAGAATGATAATTAACATATTAGATACATCATTTGTACATTGTTCTGTTCACTTAACATTAGAGCATATCCATTTTTCCAAGTTATGTTTTTATAATTAATAATCTTTTGAGTTCATATACTGTAATTGAACTGTTTCTCCATTATTGACTAAATATTTCATTTCTGATTTTTTTAGTTTTATAAATGATAACAGTTACTATATGACATTCTCTTTATTTTAGATAGTTTCCTGAGTCTAGGTTTTCAGATCTGTGACAAACTGACTTGGGCAGGAGCAAGAGGAGGCTCTCTTTTCTGTGCAGAAGTGAATAGCCTGGTCTTCCTCCAGATCTTAGGGAGGAAAGCTTTCAGTCTTTCCCCATTGAGTGTCATGTTACCTGTGAGTTTTTCATAAATTCTCTTCATCAGGTTGAGGACATTCCTCTTTATTCCTGGCTTACTGAGTATTTTTATTACAAATGGATGTTGGATTTTATCAGATACTTTCTCTGCATCTGTTGAAATGATTCTACTATTTTTTAAATTTTATTAATACAATGTATTATACTAATTTTGGGGTGTTAGACCAACCTTGCATTCCTGGGATAAATCCACTTGGTCTCTTGGTATATAATTCTTTTTATATATTACTGGATTCAGTTTGCTAGCATTTTGTTTGAGGATTTTTGCATCTGTCCTAAGAAATACTGGTCTCTTTGTGAGGTTCTTTTATTATATATTATACAAGAAATAAATGCATGCAGGCAGGAAAATATTGCTCTTTGTGCTCTGTTAGAAACTTTCTTCAGGGGCAAACTAGGGAGGATCAGGGAAAATTACTTAATTTTCTTCTTGGTTAGATTTTGGGAACCAACATTGTTTTACCTTTTTATTTATTACATGTGCACAAAGGATAAAAGTACTTTTGCCAGATTGAAAATATTCCACAAAAAGTTTCTGAAGGTTATATACAATTAAAAACAATTCCAAGATATTTTGAACAGTGGCAAGCTTTATTAGAGTTGCTTGGTTTCTCTGTAGTGAAATTCTTAAAAGAATAATGGTTATTTGTATAAAAATATCACATATGGTAGTCTTATGCCATAGGTCTCATATCCATCAGTAACATAGTAATTGTCTTAACTATTAACACAATTTAAAATCAAAAGTCTTATTCATTAAAACTTTCATCAGAATTGTTACAGTAGCACCAAATTTTAGCATTGCTATAACTAGTTTTTAATGTTGCTATAATGTACTTAAAATACCTATTATAATGCCTTGTGAATAGTTTCATCCAGTTGGATGTTAATAAAGATGTCATATGCAAGAGGAGTTAAAGATAATTTATGGTTCATGTAATCAACCATTTATAATAGATATTACCATTGGGGCACCTGGGTGGCTCAGTCAGTTAAGCGTCTGACTTCAGCTCAGGTCTTAATCCCAGGTTCCTGGGAT